TTGCCTCATCCTCCATATTCACCTGATATCTCTCCTACTGATTATCACTTATTTAAGCATTTTGAGCTTTTTGCAATAAAACATTTTCCAATAAGGAAGAAGTAATCAAAACATTTGAACTGTTTATCACATCAAAGGATGAGAATTTTTTTAAAGATGGTATCAAGAATTTAAAGGAACGTTGGAAAACAGTCAATCATCAACATCGTACCTATTTCAACTAAATAAACAAAACATTTTGGCCGTGGACTTTAAAAATAGAGAATTTTCTTAAAATTTTTCCGACATAAAAGGTTTAAATAGAATAAAAAGCTCATATATAAAAATGAAGACAACACAAACATTATTTCACGTTTTTATTTGTAGATCTTCATCTTAATTTACTTGCAACTGTCGACAAGAAATATCATAGTTTTTTAAAAAGACTTTGTACGTGAGAAATTAAAAATCATTTATTAATTTCTTTAATCTTACATCAAATGTTTTTAAAAAAAAGATTTCAAATAGTATGGAAAATTTTGGGGTTGATGAATACTCAATTTATTTTCTAAGAAGGATTTCTTCATCTTATTTCTCTTGCTTTTCAGTATTAGATATAATAGTCCCTGAATTTCGTAGTTGAAGCCGTGTCAATAACTTCATCTTTAAAGGGTTTCTTTCATCTTATTTCTCTTGCTTTTCAGTATTAGATATAATAGTCCCTAAATTTCGTAGTTGAAGCCTTGTCAATAACTTCATCTTTATTAGGATTTCTTCATCTTATTTCTCTTGCTTTTCAGTATTAGATATAATAGTCCCTAAATTTCGTAGTTGAAGCCTTGTCAATAACTTGATCTTTATTAGGATTTCTTCATCTTATTTCTCTTGCTTTTCAGTATTAGATATAATAGTCCCTGAATTTCGTAGTTGAAGCCGTGTCAATAACTTCATCTTTATTAGGATTTCTTTCATCTTATTTCTCTTGCTTTTCAGTATTAGATATAATAGTCCCTAAATTTCGTAGTTGAAGCCTTGTCAATAACTTCATCTTTATTAGGATTTCTTCATCTTATTTCTCTTGCTTTTCAGTATTAGATATAATAGTCCCTGAATTTTAGTTGAAGGATTGTCAATAACTTCATCTTTATTAGGATTTCTTTTCATCTTATTTCTCTTGTTTTCAGTATTAGATATAATAGTCCCTAAATTTCGTAGTTGAAGCCTTGTCAATAACTTCATCTTTATTAGGATTTCTTCATCTTATTTCTCTTGCTTTTCAGTATTAGATATAATAGTCCCTAAATTTCGTAGTTGAAGCCTTGTCAATAACTTCATCTTTATTAGGATTTCTTTCATCTTATTTCTCTTGCTTTTCAGTATTAGATATAATAGTCCCTGAATTTCGTAGATGAAGCCTTGTCAATAACTTCATCTTTATTAGGATTTCTTCATCTTATTTCTCTTGATACTCTTGGCTACAACACGAGATTCCTTTAATAATGTATTTTCACCGAGGACAAAGAATGGTATCATTGTTGAAGGATTCATCAAAATTATTAATGAATAATAAGTATTAAAATAAATTCTAAAAAAAAAAAAAGAACAACAAATTTTTGTAACTACCTAGTATGTGGACAGCACTACTTGAAACTTTGAGGAGCAAGACGTTGCAAAATCAAAAATAAAGTCATCACTCACAAGGCCGTGTAAACTATTTTGAGCATGAACATTTTTTCACATGCTCTAGTTGTAAAGGTCTGAACTAGTGGAACAAAAGATAAGCGTCCTGGATACGACGATAATCTACATCCGACAGCAATGCTTCTGTCCAGGTGGTTTTAAGGATCGTGGAACCACCTCTTAATTGCTGGTTTTCCCAAGACCACTCTATCCCGGAGTTAGGGTCCCAGCTAAAGGAAAATAGTTAACCACCAAACTGGGGTCAAAACGTGTAAAAATAAGTTTTAATACCAGGAATGAATTTTTGAGGAAAAAATTATTACCAGCAATACATTTTTGAAATAAATAAAAAAACTATTACCAGCAATACATTTTGGGAAAAAATATTACCAGAAATACTTAAAAAAAAAAAAAATACCAGCGATAAAAATCTTATCGGCATTAAATAACCCATTGAGGTTGATATACCGTAAACCAAACCAAACCAAAAGATAGGAGCTCACCTGAACATTTGCCACAGGAATTTTTGTATTGAAAATTTTATTTTTAATCATTTTATCCCAAGCAAGGCAATAAAGCCACTAAGACGAAAGGGGTGGGTTACTGTGTGTGAAAGAATATGCGAAAAGAAAAACATTATTACGGAAATTGATTGTTTGATTAGATGTGGAATGGGTAGCCATGGTCAAATGCAAAATAAATGACTGTCCACCAAACAAAATTGACAAAGTTGGCAATAAAAAGAAAAAAATAATATAAAGCAAGCAAAAAATATATTCAAGACAAATTAACAGTAAATGTAGCAAAGCCACAGTAATATGGCAAAAAGTTTACAAACTAAGAATTGGGTTAGAGACATAAAAGAGAATTTGAATAAAGCAACATGACATTCTGACTCCAAGACAGAACGGGACTGAGTCCAATGAAACAGAGAACCGACCTATTTTTTTGCCTAGAAAAAAAATCCCAGCATACATTTGTATCCTTCTGTTTATAAAAGGGGACGATAAAGTGTTTTGCAGTCATTCCTAATGAAGTTTGAAACCAACATTCGGTTTCTACGGCTTATGAACCCTTTGTAGGTTATTTAAAGCCAGAATATATTCTTAGATTGAAAGAATTTCTTTTTTTAGATAAAAATGATTTAATGATACAAGTCTTACTAATTAGCCCATAGCTGGAGGGGTGAGAATTGGTGAATTCATACCTTTCCCAGGGGTATTTGCCCGTAGGAATATACCGAAGCCAACTGAAATAGAAACCCGGCTCTCTGATTAACGATTCCGAGCCATTATACATAACACCACCCGCACATCCGACCTTACAGCACCTGGTATTCCAAAGTGATCACTCATCTAGATTTAAGGAGCAAGGAAAAAGGAAAAGACAGAAGATAACGATTGACATTGCAATTAAATTTTCATTGACAAATGTTGACTGGAAAGCAAGAAACCAGAAGAGAGTTCCACTCCACAAGCGATAAGTGCGAGAGAAGAAACTGTTAACATAGAACTTACGGTTACATCTAGCTATTTCAATTATGAAAGGATGAGACCTAGCTGCCAATCGAGTACTGCACTTAAATTAATAAATTCTAGGTACCAAAGAGGAAAGCTAATCAGAACAATTACCATGAAAATATTTGTAGAAAACGCATAGAGAAGCTATGTTGCAGCAGTGGGAAAGTAACTGAAGCTGAGTTGCCAGGTCAGGACTAATAACATAGCAGGCTTTTCTTTGGATCTTATCAAGAATCTCTAAATATGACCAGATATAACACAATTTGTTTTATTCCTTTTATTTTCATCCTTTTAGTGATTCCCACGTTGTTGTTTTTTTCACAATTAATATAGATTTTGTTTTTCTTTTCTTTTTCAGGTGTTCCGACGCTAGGGATACGTAACCTGTACAGACCGGAAAATTAAATTGTTAACCCGTTTCTTCAAATGGCAAACAACAGAGCCCAAGACGCAACAAATTGCTTGTGATTTAAAAAAAAAAGAAAGACGAAAACAAATATCAAATCTAGATTTATTTCCTGTCACCGTTTACGGCATGTTTATCCCACCCGTATTACCTTCTTTTGTTAAGTGTGTACATCGACTCCCGCCATTAGCAACGTCAAAAGTCTACGCATGCGCACAAGCAGTTACTTTACCGCCTTCCCCCGTTTTGTTCAATCTTACATGAACACCGATTCCCACAGCTGCGTTTAGAACTCTACCCATAACCTGTGTTCGATTCACCCCCCGCCCTTTTTTTAAAAGTATTTCAGCATTTCAAAGAGAAATTCGAATCTCAGGAAAATTGAAAGGAAACAATTCCAACCACAACGAAACGAAATTAAAACCTCAAAAGTAGCCTTATTCACCCTTTGTTGCCTTTTACACGAGTTATTTCCCTTTGATACGCACACACAGATTATCTCCCTTTGGTATATTCATTATTTATCACTTCCCTATAATTTATCATCACCTAAAAACTTCGGAGTTACAGTTCGATCTTGTCTGCGGATAATTTATGGCCTTTCAACGATTTTATAGCAAATAAGATCACAGAATTTACCAAAAATTCTTGAAGGAATATTTTTGGAATATTCTTATTCTTCGTTATCCGACACTCCATTGGAATTACAGGATTTCCAAATTTCTATTTGTAAATATTAAGACTAACAGTTTTATTAAGTATAAACACTCTTCCACTAAAAATTATTAATAATCGTATTACCTGTTCAAATTTCCCAATCTTAAAAGACAAAAGCCGAAACTTATAAAAAGCAATTTCATAAAAGAAATCCACAAAGATATTTAAATATTTAAATTAGTATGCATAGTTAAGATTTTTTTCAAATTATTTAACAGAATTGTAAGGTTTTCTTCCAGAACCTTATGAGGCATATGTAAAAGTTTGCTTCCTTTTCAGAAGCACTTCATCTTTGAAAGTAAACGCCACATTTCAAAACTAAACTTACCAATTTAAGATTAAATATTTCACGAAGCCTTAGACATTAAACATCGTTCATTTCTACATCCAAATTTTCTAAACACGTGATTTATATTAAATCCAATCCTTAAAAACTGAAAATATTTGCTTATCTTACTTTCTCTGCGCATCAGATGAAAAAAACAGTTTGTCTGCGCAGTTCCGGTTGTGAGACAATAATGCTTAAACCTTTATCCTGCTGTTGTTACGATAGCGGCTTTTCAGCCAACCCTCGCAGACGAAACAACTTGAGCAACCTCAAAAACAACGATGGGACCCTGATCTTTTGTATTGGGGCTGGAATTCTTAAACCTTATTTTTTTCTTCCTCAAATCACACCAACATTCCAAATCATATTTATGACAATTCTCTTTGTGATAGCTTTTCCCGCGTCTCTGACAACAGCAACCCCTGTCAGGATGACCCGCTCCCATGCAGGGGATACCGTGAGTGCAGGACTCATCCTCAAGAAACACTCGACGCCTATGACAGTCAAAGTGGCATTTCTTCACCCAAGAACATTTAACGCGAGCACAAAGATATTTAATACTAGCACGTACCACACATCACCGTCCATCCTACCAACAAAACTACCCCCTAATATCACCCCGCCACGGCAACAGGGCGTGGCCCAAGATGTCTATAATAACAATGATGACAGTTCTAGTTCTTTGATTCCTGTTTTCGTGCTCAGTAACACTAGCGAGTCTACAATGGCTACACCAGAAACGACTCGTAGTAAAAATGTCAACCTTGCAGTAATACCAGTGCTGGGCATTTTCTTCCTTATGATTCTCGTTTGTTTCAAAGGATGTAGTTGGTTTCGGGAACATCTAAAAGAACACGATATTGAAGACGACGGTAAAGATTACGTCATACTTTCCCCACCGGAAGATGGCTATCGAGAGGTCGAGTTCCGGTCAGACACTTCATCTATGTATTATGACACAGTCTCTTCATACAGATCGATTCTCAGACAAAAAGGTGAATATGGCGGATATAACAACTACGACACAGTTACTTCCATCCGCTCAGTTTTACAGAGGGCAGATGTTAGAGATGCCGCTGTCCAGGTTCGTTTACAAGGCCAAAGACCAGATCGCTGGAAAAGTGTGTCTGGGATTTTAAACAATGGTGACGGTAGCAATTCAGATCTCCTACGTGTGCCAAAGAAGACACACCGTCAAGTCTCGTTCCAGACGAGTCATAACGAGACTTACGACCCTCCACCGCCGCGCATGTGTGACGTCAATATCCAGGTCGGGGATTCGACCATGGAACGTTTGAAACAACAGCAAGAAAAGACTTCGAAATTCCAGAACGGCATATTACCGAGACAAATTTCTCCTGGTTATGGTAGCCGAAGCTGTCTCGCTTCGTCTCTTCCCAATCGCCATTCATCAGCATCTCTTCGCAGTATGGACAGGCCGGAAAGTCACCCCTTAAAACGGACAGACAGTAGCGGCTGTGCTAGTACGACTAGCAACTCGACGGCGGCCAGTACTGGCTCAAACGTCCCGGGCAAAGCTAAAAACCGCAGAATTCACCATTTCCAAGTTCTGAGAGTCAACAGCACTGACAGACTCGGTTCACGAGAGATCGAACGTATGGACCCGTCTCCGATACGGCCAGCGGTGATCACGCCTCATTATATCGATCAAAACCGGTCAGCTTCTGGACTTGCCCTCGATAAATCAGCTGACTACCAAGACCGCGCGGAACGGCCTTCAAGCGCTTCGTTCGATAACAGCCGAGGAGAGCTTTACGGAGCTCCAATGACCACCATGTGCCATCCGCATTATTTTTGTGACCAATTTGTCCAGACTGACAGCGATTCAGCTAATGACACCATGTCCCCGGTCACCGCTGCCGCGCATACCTCTGTCTCCCCACCAATCCTCACTGAAGTCAAACTCAGCCATGCGCGATCCGAGGACGAAGATTCGGACGAACTGAACGGAATAAAAAAATTGGATACAGACTGTCTACGACACGAGTTATACATTGACGAGAGCAGCGATACAACTGGAGAAGAGTCGCTTGTGACAAGCGGTCGAAACAGCGCGAATTGGTCCGAGCAACTGGACGAAGAGGACCAGCTTCAGAAGTTATTGCAGGCGCACGCTTCGGCCATTGCCGGGGCTCCGATCGCCTCTTCCATTTCATTAGAATCCTCATCGTCTTGTCGCTCATCCACTGACGACGTGGCGCAAAGACTAGAACTGGACCGTAGTCACCAGACAGTGACGGAAGCTGGCGACGCTACGACCACTTCCGAAGACAGCGGCGAAGGGAGAAGCGGTTTCGAAAGTCGACTTGGACCAGGTAACGGTCAAACTGAAAACGACGAACCAAAAGACGAAGAGACTCCCTTGATAGAGCGCTCGTTTACAGATATAAGTAGTTCGCCATATTCTCAATCGCCTGTTACTGGCCCCGGAACGTTAAACAGTACACGGCCTCACCGTGTCAGCAGCGGTTATGATACCCAAGGGCCCGAATCTTCCAGCGTGAAGGGGCCGGCAGAAGCCGGTGACTCGTCTTGCGATGTAACACCCTTAACGTCTTCATCTAACTCTTTACAAGAATGTGGTCGTGAAGCAGGTAAGGGCGGTATACATTCGCACCTGCCATTACAGCTGTTATTGTTTCAACACGTACAAGAAGAACGTAAGCAAGCGCAAAAGCCTCTAGACTTTGAGAGTCGACATCAGTCACCTCTTTCTCGCCTCTTAAAAAACACTGATACTGGCAGAGACGAAATATTAATGGCTCCAAATTTGGACCAACCTTCCTCATACATTCCACAACCCCACCCGCAAGATACCAATAACAATATTTCTACCCCTCGCTTTAACTCAAATAACAACACATTTCCCAGACAAAGACTTGGAAGCACTGACAACAATTTTAGCAAAAGGAGTAGCAGCTTAAGTATGGACAATATTCAACTAAAATCCCCTGGTTCTAACCCTCCTACCCCAACAGACTGTCTTGGTGAGGAGCCAACGGTAGGTTCGATATCTCAAATTTCAGGGAATGGCTCAGTGGGAATCAGAAACAGTGACAGCAGCAGTAGCATGAAGACATTGTCTATAAAAGACAGTGTGAATGCGCCAGTGACTGAAATCGACGACCCTCTTCGAACTGGAGACACGACGGAGACTTCAGATCACGTTCTGAAGCCCCTAAGCACTCTTCCGCCGCTACCCCCTTCAGCAAAAAATGTGCCGTCGTATCAAGCAAGAAAGCCATCAAACACTGCTACAGATTCTACCGTTCTAAGATAAATCAAACATATATGTAAAAAAAAGAAAATCACACACACGCACACACACACATATGTAAAAAGACAACATGAAAAAAGACAAAAGGAAAACTTTTCTTTACCGACGCCTTTCATCTTCTGATGGAAGGCAACTGTAAGGAATTTATTACATTAGCTATCTCCACAGATTCACTAAAAAAAAAATAGCAACCATTGATGAAAAACTGCCTCAAACTTTTATTGTCGTGAGAGAAGAAAGAGCAAGGAATTTCTTGATTATTAAATTATTTATTTTTTTTTGTTTTAGAACGTTCGAAATATTGTTTAAAAATCTTGTTTTTCTTGCGTCAGCGGGTGGCCAAAGATTAGTGTAGGAAATTTTAGCATCATTTTTTGGGGGTGAAAAGCACATTAATCCCGAAATTCTTGCAAAAATCAAATAATTGTCGGATTTTAATGAAACTTTCAGGATATATTCAGAAATTAATGAAATTATTTTAGAAATCTTTAGTTTTAAAAATCTTGGTAATTTTTTTTTTTTTTTACATCTCAACCGCCATTTATTTAATTTTGAAATTTCGAGAATTCAAAATTTTCAGAACTTAATGTTTATATTAGTTAAATGCAAAAGTCCTTGGAGAATTTAATTCTTTGTTAAACAGCATCCTCAATTATCGAAAATCTGCTCTGAATCGTAAAATAAAAAATGTAATAAAACTAAGATATTATTTAATTAGAAAAGCTTTTAATTGCTTTTATGAATAAGATATGTTATGGACTCTGTTGTATAAAGAAGAAAAACATCGATGAATAATGAATTTTTACGAGAATTGTTTTCATTTTTTTAAAATATTGATAAAATTTGTTTTCATTTTTAAATATTAATAAAATTTTAAATTCTGTTTTACTTTTTTAGATATTAGCTGATATTGTTATTAAGTAATAACTATATATAATTAATCACAAATGGAAAAGCTTAATACAACTCATCGATGCCCAATATTTGAAAAAGAATTTGGAATTTTTTGTGTGTGCCGATTTTTATAAATATGGACGACCATACACGACATTATCAGAAAATAAAAACGATAACTAAAATAAATTTAAAGCCAAAGTACCTAAAACTCAATAAAACATTAGGATTACAGATATTTTCCTAAATTTTTAAGATTACTGGGTAGCTGAAAATTATATATAAAAGTTGATCACGTTATATACTTCAAGTAAATTTTACAGATATGTATACTGTAGAAAAACATTAGATAAACTTCTGTCTGTCAATAAAGCTGTCAAAACCTAAAATTATCAGTATTATTGAAGTAATATTTGTTTCAAATTAGATTAATTAAACTTTAAATCAGCTAATATTCTTAAAATAAAGTTTCAGAAAAGTATATTTTAACCTAAAGGATTTTTGAATAAGGAATAACCAAAAGGAGGTTGGAAATCAAAATGATAATCAAATAAAATCAACAAAATACAATTAAATTAATTTTGAAATAGCAAGGTAAACCACTGCTAGTTGTAAACTATTAAGATCTATTATTGAAATTAAACTTAAATAATTTCATATTTAAGGATTGGGGCATTTAACCACCATTTTGTTCATAGGTATCATACTTATTATCTTTTCAGGTTGTGTGTGTGTGTGTGCGTGTGTGTCTGTTCGTTTATATATTGGAACTTATTTGAAACATTTTCAAAGGATTTTAACAAAACTTCACAGGACTATGTAAAATTACCTTGATATTGGTTCTGAAATTGATAAAAATTGGAAAAACACAATTAAATATATAAAAATCAATTTAAAAACACAAAAGTCGCCAGAATGAAAGGGACAACTCATATCGAGTTATACTTATTACTAAAACCCAGGTTATGTGTTTGTGTGTGTGTGTTCGTTTTTATATATGGGATTGGATTTCCTACACGAAAAACCGATTTCAACAAAACTTCACTTTTTTTTGGCAGGTAGTGTTTTTATTGTTTATTTTTTTCTTTATTTTTACATTCAGAATGCTTTAAAAATTCCATTTACAAGACAATTGTTTATAATAAAATTCTGTTCAATCATTTGACTCATAACGATTGAAAACAATGTTTTTCTTTGAGTTTTGGGTTTGACCAATTCGTAAAAAAAAAAAAAAAAAAAAAAAAAACTAATTAAGACATGTTGTATCCGTCAACCTTAAACAATAACCTTTGTCAATTTTATTTTTCAGTCTTTATAGGGTCGATACTTGATCTATCTCTTAATGTTACATAGAATTTGGCAACGCCGGGCTCTACTGTCTATTAGTTGTCTATAATAATTAAACGTATATTTTAGGAAAAGATTTTTTTTATTAAAGAGAATTGATTATCAATTTCAAAACAAAAACTCCTTCTACCCTATTCAAATTAATTTTGAAATATAGCAAAGTATTTTGCTTATTGGAAATAATAAATTTAAACTTCTAGCTTGAAATTAAAATTAAAGCGTCAAGAAAGATTTTTATTTTTTAAAATTTATTTTAAACCTTAGGTATCGCAAATGTTGAGGTATGTATATTACAGGTTGCAAAATAAAATCCTTGCATATGCCCTGATGAAGTTCATCGGAGGATGAAACGTCAATAAAGAAAAGTTTTCCTTTCGTCTATGTTGGTATAAATATATATTTTTAATAATCAAAACTTGAGACTATCTAACCGGATTCGCTCTGATAAAGCGGGTGAATGTTGGGCCGATGTGTGTTAGCATTTTTTTCTTCTTTTCTATTTACATCTTAGAAAGGAAGGGTCGTTTACGGCGAAATGGACAAAAGACGAAGGGATGCCTGTTTACAGAAGGTGAGAGTCAACAAGGGTCGACACCGTTAAACAAACAAAATAAACATTTATACAATAATCAGGGACAAGGCATTTATAAAGAATGACTTTACAAATGGAAAAAAGAGACAATTCTAGACTTACGCAAGCGACCGGATGGAAACCTGTGTTTGAACCAAACAGATTGTGATTTGTATGAAAAGTTGGGGGAGGTATTTTTTTACTTTCTATTCTTTTAAAATAGAAATGAAACTTTAAAAAAAAATGAAAAAAATATTCTATTCAACTATGTGTTTGTTTTATTTTTTATTTTGCTTGTTTTCTTTCAGCCACATGTAAGATGCGATAAAACTGTTTTTGCAGACTGGAAATTCGATTTTTGGGCAATTGACTCCTTTCAGTTTATGGGCGCCCCAAACTCTCCAGTAACAGTCCGACATGCAAATTATAAACTAGATATACAAAAATTAAGCAGATGCCAAAATTTACAATATTAAAATTTTTTTTAAATTTGAAGAGGTTTAAAAAAAGGATTTTGAATTCTGAAGGCGCGTCGACATAGCTAAATTTGCCTTCAAAAGCTAAGCAAAGTATTAAATGCAGAAAAATTTAATTTCAAGCCTAGAAAAATACTGAACTCATTTTACGTAATATCAGTCCTCTTATATGGCAGTGAATTATTGGACAATTCCTCACAGATGAAGAAAGATAGAAACAAAGAGAAACAAAGAAAATTTTACTGAACACATTTGTAATATCAGTCCTCCTATATGGCACTGAATGCTGGACAATCTCCTCACAGATGAAGAAATACTTGAAGCAAGAGAAACAAAGAAAACAGTACTGAACTGTTATGTAATATCAGTCCTTCTATATATAAGTGAATGCTGGACAATTTCCTCACAGATGAAGAAAGACTTGAATAAGAAAAAAATTGCCATAATTTGAACTGTTATTTAATGTTCAGTTTTCCTATATGGCACTGAATTTTATTTCAAAATTTCACAGATGAAGAAGAGACTTAAAGCAAGAGAAACAAAGAAAAGAGTACTGAACTGTTATGTAATATCAGTCCTTCTATATGGCAGTGAATGCTGGACAATCTCCTCACAGATGAAGAAGAGACTTGAAGCAAGAGAAACAAAGAAAAGACTACTGAACTGTTATGTAATATCAGTCCTCCTATATGGCAGTGAATGCTGGACAATCTCCTCACAGATGAAGAAGAGACTTGAAGCAAGAGAAACAAAGAAAAGACTACTGAACTGTTATGTAATATCAGTCCACCTATACCAATCTCCTCACAGATGAAGAAGAGACTTGAGGAAATATAAATTCGGTTCTACAGAAGGATATTGATCTCTTGGATTGAACACGTGAGCAATGAAAATTTAGAGAAAATAAAAACTTAAAGGACATTTCTAAGTCTCATCAGAAAGAGAGAGAGAGTCGCAATTTCTAGGGCACATAATGTGAAAAAAGAGCTTAGAAAGTTTGACACTCACCGGGCATATTGATGACGAGATGGTAGAGGAAGACAGCGCATAGCTAGCCTAACAAGATCATGTGATTTGTTCGCAGTATAAGGATTAAGAGAGATAGTAAAAAGATAAATTTACTAAGGTTTACATAGGAAGTTGTGAGAGCTATGGTCGCCGACGCCTTGAGAGTAATGTGTTTAGAGGTGATATAATTTTAACGGGTCCGGGTATGCAATCCCAATTTTCATTTGCCTGAAAATTGGCTTCAGTGAAAGAGTTAAATCGAATCTTTACTTTGTCGAAAGAATCTTTTAACTATTTTAGGTCATAGCTCTTCATAACAATATTTTACCGCTCTAAGCAATTTTTTTAGTAAATTGCACACTGTTTACCCTCTTGCCTTCAATATGTCCTGTGAGTGAAAATTCTCCAAGCCCTCTTTTCTCACGAGAATGTCAATTGTCTCTTTATGATTCAAAGTACAGGTGTTTTGATTGATTTATTCGTTTTCTACGGTTTATCAACCCTTTTGCAGGTTATTTAAAGCCAGAAAATATTTTTAGATTGTAAGAATTTTTTGTTGTTTTTTTTTAATATAATAATGATTTAGTGATAAAAATCAAACTAATTAACCCATAACTGGGGGAGAAGAGGTAGATTCATACCTAATCAGAATATTTTTAATCGAATTCAACCAAGTAAGGTAGTAAAGCCACTAAGACGTAAGGGGA